CTGCCTCCCCGCGCCCCACGCAGCTCCCACAAACCTGCCTGCATAGCACCCGGTGGCAAGGCAAAGATGCCTCAGGGAGTTGCCATGCCAGCTTCGCAGCCCTGCTATTTTTAGCAGCGCTGACAAGCAGGCGGCTGTGGAGGCATTAAGGGAACGTACAGGCAGGGAGAAACTGCCCTCCAACAGTGCTGTGGACCTACACAGGAATACCCAGCCCCGCTGAGGAGATGCCCACGAGCAGTTCCAGGCACCACGACCAACAGGTCCGACTCTGTCATCTCTTCGTGCTTATGAACTTTCCAAAACCATACAAATGTTTCATTTCTAGGACCTGTTGTTTATAAACGGGAGATGCGTCATCTGAGGATGCAGGCACAGTATTGCTGCTTTTGGCAAGTGAAATATTAGATACTAAGTGTTAAGGCAGATAGAGTTCAGTGACATGGGAGAAGAGGAAGGAGCAGTGAAGGAGAGGGAAGTGCACAGGGAGAACAGAAAGATTAGTGGAGGCAGGAAGAGAGAACAGCTGCTTCCAAAAAAACTAGAGCATGAAGCTGGCTCTGGTAAGGGCAATGACATGTCTCCTCTGAGAAAGCCAAGGCAAATTTTCATCCCATTTCTCAGCTTGGATGAGTTACTTCCACTTAAATTCACATCCAAAGCAGACCTAGCCGTACCATCGTTCTTCCACAGGCTGTAATCCCACACTACACACAACAGGAGGCCAAGACCTCTAACCAAGGTTACAGGAGGGTGTTAAAAGGAAGCAGCTCTCATGCTCTCGCCCACTGTCATCCTCCAAGAAACCCAACAGCTTATTCTCTAATGTTCTTTGTTCTCATTCAGAGCCATTTAACAAAACAAACTTGAAACACTAGCATCTTCATCTGTACTTTACACCTTACTTTCCAGTAACCTAACGCACGTCACAGCTTATTGGATGTTCCAGATGGCTGGCCCATGAGGTGTTTGCAGAAGAAAGCTCGGATCTGCCTCCAAGCATCTATCTGTGCCTCGCAGTGTGCCTTGGGCTCCCCTCCCCACACCACAGGCTGGCCAACTAGCAGGTGCATTGAGGCGGCACACATCGGGAAAAAGGGGGGTTCAATGTAGTGCCCTGCTCCAGGGTAACAGACTATCTCGGGCTTTTCCTTCCCGTGAGCTTCCAAACGTTTGCTCCCTTCAACTGCAAAGAATTCACTTTTCCAGTTGTGATCATCCTGGCCAACAATGAACAAGAAGCGACACTCAGCCTTCTCCAAAGGGATAAAGCTTTGGCGGCCAGGCCCTTCTAGTGGGTTGTTCAGTACATCGATAATATCAGCAATCCCAGACTTGCTGACCTTGATGAGTTTCACATTGAAACCAAGGGGTGGAATGGTGATGTCCTTGTAGCGGAGCACTGCGCCCACATTTGCCACCGAGCCGTTGATAAGGGCGGTGGCTGTGATGCCCTTTAGGAAGGAGGCCATGGAGATGCACAGGTCACCCCCCTTCGAGATTCCAAGCAAACCAATCCCCGGACCTTTAACCTGGAGAGGAGAAAAGAGAAACCACAAGCAATGAACCATAGCACACCACTTCTTTAAAATGTTGCCATGTTCGCAGCAGTGTCCACCTTGAATCTGGACTCCAGGTATAGGCATCTAAGGTCCTGTGTGCAGGGCCCACGTCTGAGGGACCTTGGGGCACTGTTCTGTGCTTGATTTACGATCGTAGGCCCTGCTGAGACTGCAGCATCATCCTAACAAAGCTACAAGGCTCAGTGCTGAAGGATATGCAGAGGGTACAGCTGCGCTTGCAAAAAGCATGCAGATGTGCAGCCCAGATTCACTTTGCTTATAAGGCAGGTCAGGGAAAAAGAGGGAAGGGGCAGGGGAGGCTTCTTCTACAAATGCTTTCTTTCAGTGCAAAATGCTCAAAGTCAGCAATGACTATGATACTGTCATCAGTTACGAAAACGTATTTCTTATATTCAACCACTGTCTTCAATTCCCCTATTAAGAAGCTAACATGGGGTAGCAGATTCCAGATTAGCTGCTCTCTCGTTTCTCTAGTATGCTTGGTGTCTAACTCACAATGAAAAGGAAGTATTATGAGGTAGCTTACTCATTAAAATGTATCTTAAAAAAAGTAAGATACATTAAAACCATTTTTCTAAGCCAACTGTACAGTCCTCTGGAGTCAATCTAGAATAGGTTACCTTCATTTTCTCTTACACAGGCAAATTAACTAGAATAGGAAAGGGAAATGATCTTACAGGGTGCTGAAATCCTCTAAGGATACTGGAAGAAGGTTAGCTAGTATCACAACTGCTCCAATACCCAAAGACCCTCAGGGGTAAAAAGGCTCTGAGACAGCATCAAAATTTAATACCTTTTGTACCTTATCACCAGTGTAATAGGCTCCAAACCCATTGACTTCAAAGCATGAAAAGGGGGAAATTAGAAAATATGGCTGAAACTTTGCAATGTGTTAAAAACATGGTGAGGGTATCAGTGGAGGTGTTAATGGGAGGCTATGGTACTGCTCTCAGGGGAAAAAAAAGGTGGGGGGAAGCAATTTGCAGAGGTTTTTGGGCAGAGAGGTGGCACGAGCAGTTAGGGTTGGGGTGACTGAAAAGCAACCAAGACCTTTAACAAAGACTCATCTTTCTGAGGTTGAGGAAGGTATTTGAGCTCTCCAGAGAAACCAAGTGTTGCCTTGTGCAATTGTTGTTATTGCCATACACAGCTACTTGGAAGCAGATGCAGAACTGAGCAGGGTTCTCTTCCAAGAGGTGTCAACTTAGAAGGATCCCCAAGTTCACAACTAGCTACTAAAACCCACACTCACCAGACACCAACATTTGGAGTGATTTTAACAGCTTATACAATACACAGCAACAAATGCATGCTGGTGGACTTCCTTGAGGCCTGGATCACAGAAGATTATCATGTGCTCCATGGCTGAAAAGGGCATTTAGTTCTGAAGGACATTCTACAGAGCATAAATGTAAAAGCCCTGCTGGAAGTCCAATAAGACTCCAGGCAACTAGTACCCTAGTTATGACACTGGGTTGGATGGAGCAGAAATTACCAGTATGTGACCTATGTGTCACTGTGTCACGTGGCCAGTTCAAAAGGAAGAACTGGAATAATCTGCCATAGAACCATTGTAATGGGAGTTAAAGATATAAAACAAATTAATTACAGCCAACTTGAACAGAGATGCTTTTTTAAGTGCAGCAGCTCTGCCCCATCTACAGTCTGACAGGACCTGACTAATGAGAGTTCCCTCTAGTGAGAGAGTGTCAATGAACAAACCAACCTGGGTGTGTTGTAACATATAGTTTACGGCTTCTTCAAAATATTCCAGGTGGAATTCCTTCATCTCTTTTGGGAGATCTTCATAGCCATAGAAAGCCAGAGCCAGCACAGCAAAGCCATAGTTGGCCAGAAGGCATGCCCTGTATTCGGGGAGTCCTCCTCCAGTTCCATACAAGTCAATAATTCCCGGAAAGGGGCCATTTCCTGTGAGAGACCACATAACAGGGCACATTAACCTGACATTTTAAATTTAAATTCATAGGCCTGGGAATATGTCTTTTTAAAAAAGAAAAAAACACAGAGCAGGAGAATGGTACTAAAGGTCCTAAATTACTGTGCCAGTTTTCAGTAAATGGCTACCTTGCTTCAAGATTAAACAAGACAGCGCAAAATAGCAGGCCTGCTAATACTTTGGATAACATCAGGGAATACATGGGTGGAAGGGAAGGGATCCCTTGACAGTCACAACAAGTTCTCTATATCACATAAATTCACTGCAAAGGTATCAAGCTCTGCTTCAAAAATACCCAGGAGGCTTCTCCCCAGTGCATTTCTCAGAAGACTGATCAAAAAAATCTCATCTTCTGATGGTTCCAGCTTCTCAGTTTCAGTGTAAATTTACTACAGCCATTTATTCTGGGATTAAGAGAAGAAAGTATTTGCAACCAGCCTTGCTAACCTGGCGAGGGAAGCTTTACATTAGGTTCATCAGGGGACAGGGACTGAAGTCCAGAGCTGAGAGGGGTTGCTGCAAGCTGGTGAAGCTTCCCTCAGGTGTCTGCAGACTAACACGAAGAACCTGGGCAACGAACAAGAAGAACTGGAAACTCACCTCCAGCCACAGGGCTACAACTGGGCAACAACCAAGAACTGGAAATTCACCTCCAGCCACAGGGATACAATGCAATCAGAGTCTGGGACACTGGCTGGGACAGCACGTATGATTTTGGCACTATCATGGAGGAGTTACCAGGGACAGACAGGGAAGAAGGAGGAGAGGGGAAGGCACATGCTATGTAGAGGAGCTCCTTCAGTACATGGGGTTCCAGAAACATGCTTGGTGAAAGCCCCTGGGTCACAGGGGGAAGGAAAGGTGGGATGTGGTGGTGGTGGTGGTGTGGTGGCTACAGGCCTCTCAAACAAGAGGAAGCAAGAGATGAGGCTTCCTACAGACAACTAGCAGAAGTCTGGACAGCTGCTGGGAGGACAACACAGCATTTGTCAGGCAATCTGAAAACCTCACAGACCCTCTCAATGATATCTTCTCACAAAATAACTCTAAGGGCAAACGAGTCTAATGCTTCACTTGATCTTCTGCTCACAAACGGGGAAGAACTGGGGACAAACGTGGCAGCAAAAGGCAGCTTGGGCTGCAGCAACTACGACATTACTAAGTTCAGGATCTGCGGAGAGGCTGGAAAGGCAAGGGGAGCAGCAGGCTTAGGACTCTAGACTTGAAAAGCAACCTTCAACTTACGCAAAGAATTACTAGCTGACTTCCCTGGAAAACAGCCAGGTAGAGGAAAGGTACCATGCAGACTGGCTGACACCGCCTCACACAGCATTTGGAAGCAAAAAGGGTGCTGTCATCAATGCCTTCATGTCCAATACTGGCAAACAAAAGCCACGTGAGGAGCGTGGCCAGCAGATCAAAGCTGGTCAGGCTGACCAGGCCACTCCTCGATGAGTGCCCAGTGCCCAGTGCCAGCCCGCACGGCCCAGCTGCCCCTTGTCCTCTGCCTGGTACCGGGCTCAAGCGGAGTCTGGAGGGGGCCTGGCTCCGGGCCTGGGAGCACCGGGCCGAGAGCGGAGGCA